TGAATTCTGATTGTAGAATATGTCATTGTGCTGATTCTCAGCCTTTATTTCAATAGGGTAGTGAAAGAGTTGTTTCATGAGGTTTTTGCACTCTCCATAGTTTGGATATAGAGAAGTTTCTTTGCAATTATAAAATTTATATGATCTATCTATAGAAGTCTAGGAATATAGTTTTATATTAGTTAGATCAGCTCCTTTTCTGTAGCAGGTACTCTTTATTTTATTGATTTCAGAGAGGGAAAGGAGAGGGAGAAAGAGATAGAAACATCAATGATGAGATAGAATCATTGATTGGCTCCCTTCTTCATGCCCCCTACTAGGGATAGAGCCGGGAGCCGTGACCTCCTGATTCATAGGTAAACACTCAACCACTGAGCCACACCAACTGAGCAATAGCAGTATTCTTGACACTAAGCCATTTTGACAGAGTGATTGTTTAATAAATTAAAATCCTGAAAATTATACTTGAAAGACAAAGCAACTTAAAACATGATTTATACTGATAAAAAAAAAAAAAAAAAAAAAAAAAAGCCATGACTTTTTCTTGAGTTGTTTCTCAGTTCCTCAAAATATTTAATTTCTCTGAAGGTGGTTTATCCCCTTTCCCCCATTGCTTCCTCTCCCTCCCCCGAAAGTGAATGTTAGCACTATCTGCCATCTCAGTCCTCAAGTGTGGTCTTTAGGAATACTTGTGGTACTCTTGGGTATAATTTATATAATACTTTGCTCATTCTCTGACATATGAAATCTCCATCAAGGTTACTGGAGTTGGTGGTTTGACTATGGAGGTGAAATTACAGCCTGCTCTTCAACCTGTGAGTTAGGGCCTGGAGCCTACATTAAGAGCAGCAATTTTCATAGTGTGGTGCACCGAAGGCTGAGGGAGTCTCTGAGGATAAAACTACTTTCACAATGATGTTAAGATTTATATTACTTTTTTCTGTGTTGACATTTATACTAATGTTGCCAAAATAATGGGGAGTAAAACTGTTGCTGTCTCAGCTGGAATCAAGTCAGTGGCACTAAACTGGTTAGAGTCATTGTTTTCTTCACTGTCATTCACTTAGAGTGGGGAAAAAGTCAGTTTCATTTAGGAATATTCTTGGTGAAGCAGTAAATGTATTGCATCTTGACCCTTAAGTACATGTTTTAATATTCTGAGTTATGAAATTAGGACAATCACTGAAAGCATTTCTGCTGCATAATGAAGACCAATGGTGTTTTGGAAAAAATAACACGAGTTATTGTTTGAGTGGCAAGATGAACTAGCTGAGTTTTTTTCACAGGACATAAATTTCTCAAAAGAATGTCTAATAACCAAACTGTGGCTATTCACACTTATTTGGAACACATTTTATCTCAAATGCAAATGAAGTGAGTTTGTCACTTCAAGGAAAACGACAGTTTTTATTGCCAATGATAAAATTCCAACTTTTAAGCAGAAGTTTTGATGTTTGGAAAGCCTGCATCTGCTATTTTGAGCTTGATAGCTTCCCAATATGTATAGTTTTCTGATGAGATTGATGTTGATTTTAATTAATGTGGTTTTCTTTTTTTTTAATATATTTTTTATTGATTTTTTACAGAGAGGAAGGGAGAGAGATAGAGAGAGTTAGAAACATCGATGAGAGAGAGTCACCAATCAGCTGCCTCTTGTACATCCCCTACTAGGGATGTGCCTGCAACCAAGGTACATGTCCTTGACCGGAATGGAACCTGGGACCCTTCAGTCCGCAGGCTGACACTCTATCCACTGAGCCAAACCGGTTTTGGCTAATGTGGTTTTCTGATAGTATATAATGAAATGTCAGCATTTGGGCGATCTGCTCAACTCAATGAGCCAATATCTTCCAAGTAACTACCGCATGATGTTACAAAATTGTGCATGAATAACAATCATGCAAAGTACAATATAGATCCATAGATTTTAACGTAACAGATATGATTTCATATTCCACATTGCAACTAACCTTTAAGAGACAACCACTTTTGGTGTAATATCAAACAATATACACATTTTTCTGAAAAAGCTATTAAAATACTCCTCCTTTACCAATCATGTCTGAGTGAGGTTCAACTAGAGTTTTTGGGGTTTTTTCCCCCCCACATACTGACTAAAATAACATTACAATAGATTCTGTGCAGGAGTAGGTATGAGAATCTAGCTGTTTTGGTAAGTTATTTACAAAATATTTTTATATTTGTACAAATGTGAAACACTTGTCATTACTTTTTGTTTTGTAAAATGTAATTATTCTTCATGAAATATTATTTGTAGCTTGTAATAGAATTATTGTTCTTTAATGAGTTGCTAAGTATTTTTTAAATTTCTCAGTTTTAATTTCTAACATAGTATATATCAAAACATATATACCAAGTGCTGTGCTGGCACTAACTCATGAGAGCTGATTGTGTGCACTTTATCCAACTTTGTGTTCAGTGTCATCTGCTGTTGGCTTGAAACCTGCCATACCATGTTTCCCCGAAAATAAGACATCCTCCAAAAATAAGACCTAGCGCATGGAAAGGTCTTTGGGAGACCTTTGGGAGAAAAAATTAATATAAGACACTGTCTTATTTTCTGGGAAACAGGGTAGTAGGAGTATTTACATTATATAATTCATCAAAAGGTACAAATCAACATTCTCCCTCCCCAAGATCTGGTTGTTAAACATTTATAGCACCCTACTGGATATAAATCACATAAACAAAAGCTCTTCGAAGTCACCATTAATTTTAAGAGTGTAAAGGAGTGTCCTGATAGCAAAAAGTTTGACAATTAGTTGTATAGCAAAAGGAGTACCTTTAGTAATTGATTCACACAGGTGGATACCTTTTTTAAAAATTTGCCTTTTTTGCTGGGAACACTTAAAGAAAAGAGCCTGCCAATAGTTTTGCTTGTTTGCTTGTTTATTTTTTTAACTTCTACTTGTTAAGTCTACTGGTTCCATTATGCCATAACTTTTTTATTTTCCCAAAAATCTAAGGTAGACAATAATACCCTAGCGCATGTGGGATGAATTTGCCCTTGGTATATATAGGGTGTCCAAAATAAATATATACACACACTTTGAATAATTGTAAAGGCAGTGTTTATTAATATACATTTCATTTTAAAAATTGAGCTGTCAGCTGTTAAAGTGTATATATATATTTTTGGGGGACACACTGCATGTTGAGTGTCTGCCCTAGTTTCTCACTTTTTTGTTCTACTGTTCCAGGTTCATACTGAGGCCCAGCTCAAGCTTTGACTTCTATACAAAGCCTTAACACACTGTTCAGGTCCATACTAATCTTTCTATTCTATGCTCTGTTGACTTTCATAGCTTATACAGTGGAGCACCTGGCTCTCAACTGTTTGGTGTGCTATTTATTGTTTCTTAGGTGTTCATCTTAGTAATTTTGCTTTTTACTCTATTATACCCAGTACAATTCTCATCACATAGATTCTAGTGCATGAATAAAAGATTTTCTTGCCGAAACCAGTTTGGCTCAGTGGATAGAGCGTTGGCCTGTGGACTGAAAGGTCCCAGGTTCGATTCTGGTCAAGGACATGTACCTTGGTTGCAGGCACATTCCCAGTGGGCGGTGTGCAGAAGTCAGCTGATAGATGACTCTCTCTCATCGATGTTTCTAACTATCTCTCTCCCTTCCTCTCTGTAAAAAATCAATAAAATATATTTTTTTAAAAAGATTTTCTTATATTTGGATTGCTAAAGAAGTTTACTTTCCAAGGACATGATGTTATAAAAAAAAATCTTAGTTGTTGTTTAAAAATATATACATATTTTTTATTGATTTAGAGAGGAAGAGAGAGAAACATCGATAAGAGAACCATTTATTGGTTGCCTTCTGCATGCCATCCCCCTCTCCCCCGGGATCAAGCCTGCAACTCTGGCATGTGCCCTGACCAGGAATCGGACCGTGACGACCTGGTTCATAGGTGGATGATGCTCAACCAGTGAACTATACCGGCCAGGAAGTTTCAGTTGTTTTAAACCCAGTTTTAAATAATTCTCTTAAAGTATTAGTATAAGTAGATTGGAAATTACTGCTGTTTCTTAAAGTGAGGTCCCACAGATGCTTTCTGCAAAATTTGTTTGGTTCTACCACTCATAATGGAAACTGGCAGGTTATTGAGTAAGTCATAATGAATACTGAAACTTAATAAAATGTGGCAGTTTCTAAGGGTATGCTGACCAAGTTGTTTACTAATTAGAAAACTTGGCAGATTTTGAAACCAGAGGCATGGAGGTATTGTGTTTTCCTAGTGGGGATCTCTGTCAAAAGCAGTCAAGATATCTGTACTGTCTTCTTTCTGTGCAAGCTAAGTTATGGTTCTAGCTCTCTATCTGGATGCCCAAGCTAGGGGAGAGGAAGAGTGAGTCACACAAGCTGCCAGGCATGAGCCTTTTAAGGGTCAGAGACACGAAGGGCGTGAGAGACCTTGGGATTTCTTTGGCCTGTGTCTTTTTCGTGATTATGGTGGTGGAGCGGGGGAGAGAAGGGCATTAAGGTAACTTTGCTATTTACATCAGTATTGAGAAAAGGCATTAGTTTGCATCTGGAATAATTCTAGAACACCATGCCAAACATTTCATTTATTAAAAATTAATTCACCATATTTAAGTTCTGTCTCCAGTTTCTCTTAAGAAGTTAGAGAGGGTAGTTTATACTCTGGCCTGTTGGTAGTCCTGAGGTTGTAGTGAGGTAGTTTAACTGCTTTAGAACTTTGTGCTTAGAACATTCTTAGCCACCGAAGCATGGGAACCGAAAGTGAGGAGCATGGGTTCTTTACTATCTATCACATCAGAGAATGACTGTTCCAGGACAGTGACCACTTCCTAATGGTAAGTACCCTGGCTTGCTTGTTATTTCTTGGAAGCAGGAAAAATAGTACAGTTATCATAGTAATGGTATATCTTTAAAAAAAAAAAAAAAAAGCAAAAAGAACAACAAAAAGGTCCAGCCTTAATCCTCAACCATGCTCATCTTTGCAGGTTTCTGTAGCTGGATCAGGCTCCGGAAGAGGCTCCCCAGCTATAACTCTAGTACAGTTACCTTCTGGCCAAACTGTACATGTCCAGAGCGTAATTCAGACACCACAGCCATCGGTTATTCAGTCACCACAGATACAAACTGTTCAGGTTAGCTGCCTGGGTGATTTGTCTTTGACTTTCTTGAGCTTGAGCTTTTCCTTCTTTTTCTTTACTAACTTATCATCTTTTCTCTAGGTAACTTTTATGATCAAGTTGTTTTATTAGAGAATTGGAGGGATTTTCCTTTTACCTGTGAGGTGCATTGTACTCTGCTGCAATGACTTAAGAGTTGCCATTTTGCTGTCAGCTTTTAATTTGCAGGATGAGTAATTGTCAGATAAATCATTCTTCACATTGTTATTCTTGGCTCAAACTCGGATTTATTTAGCAAAGCTCTTCAAAGGTGCTTAAAAATATTTTGCAGATTCTTTGGAGATGCCTGATAAACATGTTAATATAAAGATTATAGTACTGATGCTATTTTTATGAATTATCACATTAGTAGGTATTAGTATGTTATTTTTAATTTTTTTTTTTTAATTTTTATTTTTAAGGTCTTTTTTTTTAAGTTTTATATATATATTTTATTGATTTTGTACAGAGAGGAAGGGAGAGATATAGAGAGCTAGAAACATCAATGAGAGAGAATCATCAATCAGCTGCCTCTTGCACACCCCCTACTGAGGATATGCCCTCAACCAAGGTACATGCCCTTGACCGGAATCGAACCTGGGACCTTTCAGTCCCCAAGCCAACACTCTATCCATTGAGCCAAACTGGTTTTGGCTAAGGTCTTTTTAAAAAATATATACTTTATTGATTTTTTACAGAGAGGAAGGGAGAGGGATAGATGGCAGTATGTTATTTTTAATTCAGTATACATAATCCATGGAAAATAATTATGTATTGTCTATTGGTCTTATGTTTATTCATCGTATACTCTTCTCAGATTTAACCTTGATTTTGTAGATGTGATTATTATTATGGTTGTGATCCAGAGATATATTTTATTACTTATCATTATCAAGGTTGTTGTTGTGTATGTGTGTTTTTTTTCTTTAAAATTTTTTTATTGATTTAGGAGAGGAAATGAGAGGGAGAGTGAGATAGAGACATCAATGATGAGTTAGAATCACTTATTTGTTGCCTCTTGCACACCCTACACTGGGGATTGAGCCCATGACCCTGGGCATACGCCCTGACTGGAAATTGAACTGTGGCCTCCTGGTTCATAGGTCAGCGTTCAACCACTGAGTCGTGCCTGCCGGGATCAAGGTTGTTTTCAAGTCCTTAGCATTTCTTGAAACAAAATTTTTTGTGTGTATCAATCAATGTAAATTATTAAGTATAGATATTTTTCTTGTCTATTGAATTTATTTCTCTTCCTTTTTCTAGGTCAGTTTGTAATTGACCTTTAGAGTTAGACTTATTTGAACCTAATTGGTGACAAAAGATCTTTGAGGGAAAAATAGAAGCACTACTTAATCAGTCTTGTTTTTCTTTTGCATATTTGAATACAGTTTATTGCAAAATAAGGATGAAGGTTGCAACTTGATGTTTGAAGTAATAAATCCACATTCATTAAAAGCTTAGTTAGCTTTGCAGCACCATGTGTCTTAATAATTCTCAGTATTGTCTTTAAATTTTAAATATAATTTTATTAATTTCAGAGAAGAAGGGAGAGGGAGAGAGAAATAGAAACATCAATGATGAGAGGGAATTATTGACAGGCTGCCTCTTACATGCCCCCTACTGGGGATTGAACCTGCAACCTGGGTATATGCCCTTGACTGGAATCAAACCTGGGACTCTTCCGATGCTCTATCCACTGAGCCAAAACAGCTAGGGCTTGTTTTTTATTTTTATCCTTCTGTTCCAAGAGTGTCTGACTCTTTCTGACTCTAATAATAAAACAAGAAAATATTTCCACTGTCCTTTTTGTATTATGACTTTCATTGGTGTACAGATATTTCTTAGTTTTAACCTGGCTGTTATTGGGAGAAAGTATTGTCTTGTATTCAATAAGTTTTTTGGATTTTGTGAAATGGATGATTTAGATAGAGATGGATCTTAAAATTTTTACCTGTTGAACGATGGACAAGTCAATCTCTGTGTGAACTTCAATTTTTGCCTTTCTGAAATGGGTAAATTAATAAACAGCTCACATAAGGAGGTTCTTATGATTATAGGGGAGATATGTGAAAGCCCAGTGTAAATTGATAAATATTTGATGGTGTATATGATTATTTGATTACAACATTTTTTCTAATAAATTCGATTCAATGGCAAGTATGCTTATTGGTGGAACGTCCATGACCACAGATGCATGGTCATATTTGTAGGTGAACATGTATGCTTGTCCTGTGTGCTTTGGGAAGTATGTATTCCTGCTTGTATTGTTCATATTTTAATAAGCTCTTTTGATTTTGCCTAAATAAAATTTCCATATAATTGCAATGTTAAGTCAAGTGAATTTTGTAAACTCGGAACTATCTTAGGCCTTGAATGAGAAATGGCTGAATATAATGAAAGCAGTCATGTTATAGAGCACATGTGTCAAACACAAGGCCCGCGGGCCAAATCCATCCTGCCAGGCCTTGCAATGTGGCCCACACCGCGCTGTCATAACTGCACTCTGCTGTGTTTCCATCACAATGACAGTTTATGACTGTTCAGTAAACCATTCGGCCTGCGATTTAGGCTGGATTTTAGATTTTGGCCCCTTCTCTGATTGAGTTCGACACCCCTATTATAGAGAGATTTTTTATTTTAGTTCTCTGACTTTGTCTAATAATCATGTTATTGACTTGAAAAAAAGATGAAGTCATGCTTAAAACAAAAATCTTTCCTTTAAGGAGAAATTCCTTATTTTGACCTTCAAAACCTACTATTATCAAGCCCCAGTGGACTTGTAATACAGGCTTGTTTACCTACTTAAATGTTCTTCCTTCTTTGGGCTTACTTAATGTCTAATTTGAAAACCCAGCTCCAGTCAGCTATAGTGTTGTGAACAGGGCAGTGAAATCAAGATGCTTTTCCTACATCTCTTACTGGCTCATTCACTCCCTGCTGGATATGTGAGAGTGCTTTCAGGGTTGGTCTACTGTATCTTATATGCAGGCCTTTCCTGTGAAGCTTCACTTGACATGCTAATCACTCTTTTATTTGCATTTCTGTAATACTTATTATTACAGAATACTTATCTGCACCATTCCTTTCCAGACACACTTGTTCTACAACTGAAATGGTTGTGTCTGTGCTTCCTTTCTTAAGCCAAGTGTAAACTCCATTAGTGCTGTTTCAGTGTGTTCTGTTTGCTGGACACTTTCCGAGCACCTGACTTAATACTGAACAGAGACACATAGTCACACTTTTTTTTTTTTTAATAAATCTTTATTGTTCAGATTATTACAAATGTTCCTCATTTTTCCCCCCTCCATTGCTCCCCTCCACCAGGTTTCCACCTCACCCTCTCCCCTTTCCCTACCCCCCATTGTCCTCATCCATAGGTACACAGTTTATGTTAAGTGTCTTCCCGCACCCCCCTCTCCCCTTTTCCCCGAGAATCGTCAGTCTACTCCCCTTCCATACCTCTGATTCTACAATATTATATTCACCAGTTAATATTGTTCATCAGATTTTTTAATTCCCTTGGTTTTTAGATTCACTTGTTGATAGTTATGTATTTGTTGTTCATAATTTTTATCTTTATTTACTTTCTCTTCTGAAAGAACCCCCTTCAGCAATTCATATAATTCTGGTTTGGTGGTGATGAACTCCTTTAGCTTTTTTTTTTTATTATTAGTGAAGCTCTTTATCTGGCCTTCCATTCTGAGTGATAACTTTGCTGAATAGATTATTTTTGGCTGTAGGTTCTTACTATTCATCACCTTGAATATTTCTTGCCATTCCCGTCTGACCTGCATGGTTTCTGTTGAGAAATCAGCTGACAATCGTATGGGTGCTCCTTTATAGGTAACTACCTGCTTTTCTCTTGCTGCTTTTAATATTCTCTCTTTGTCTTTTGCTCTTGGAATTTTAATTATGATGTGTCTTGGTGTGGTCCTCCTTGCATTCCTTTTGTTTAGGGGTCTGTTCACTTCCTGGACTTGGAAGTCTAATTCTTTCACCAAGTGGGGGAAGTTTTCTGTCACTATTTCTTCAAATACATTTTTAGTGTCTTGCTCTCTCTCTTCTTCTGGGACCCCCATAATCCTGATGTTGGTTCTCTTGAAGTTGTCCAAGAGGTTTCTTACATTATCTTCAACTTTCTGGATTCTCTTATCTTCTTGCTTCTGCAGAGGAGTGTCCTCTGGCTCTTTGTGTTCCAAATCTTTGATTTGATTTTTGCGATCTCCCATTCTGTTTTTTAGGACTCTGTATATTTTTTATTTCAGACAATGTATTCTTTATTTCTTGTTGATCCTTTATTATTTCTAGTTGATCCCTTTTCATATTCTCATAAGTCTCATTTATTTTATTGGCCTTTTCTAGGAAATTCTTGAAAAACCTTATAACTGTGGTTTTGAATTCTATATTCAGTCACTTTTTGTCCTCCATTTCTTTTGTTTGTGATCTGTTTCCTTGTCTCTGCATTTTCACAGCTTCCCTGAGTTGGTAGGGTGGCTTTGTGTGCTAAGGTCTCCTATATGGTTCAGTGGGTCAGTCTCCCAGTTACCTGAGGTGGAAACTCTTGGTGCCCCCTTTTGTGGACTGTGTGTACAGCCTTGTTGTAGTTAAATCTTGATTGTTGTTGGTATCACTGGGAGGAACTGACCCTCAGGCCAATTGGCTGTGAGGATCAGCTGTGTCTATGCCTGGAGACAGCCTTATTCGACTAGACTTGGAAAATTGCAAAAGCCTCTGTGCTCAGCTTGGATGGCTCAGAGTTTCAGGGTGGAGCTTACAGCCTTGGCTTCCTGTCAGCCCCGCCCTATGAGGTTCCTGAATCTCAGTGTTCCTCAGTTTCCTTCGGTACTCAGTGTAAGCACCTCTGAGAGAAAGGTGCCCTCGAGTTTCACCCACTACCAAACAGTCTAAGCTCTCCCCCAATGAACTGTGGTTGGAAGTGGGGTTCAGAGCAGTCTGGAGCTTTTGTCTTCTTCCCGCTAGGGCAATCCAGCAGCACAGTCAACCGTCCATTCTCTGCACATAATGTGTGCTCCTCTGGGACTTCCTTTCGCCGTTCCCTGAGTTTCCGCCTTAAAGCCCAGACTCCCTCCTTATGAGCCTGGGTCCCCAGGGTCTGGCCTAGAACTGGGATTCAGTGCTGTCGGAACTGGGGCTCAGCACAGTCTGGAGCTTTTATCTCCTTCCTGCTAGGGAACGCCAGCCAGGCACTCAGCATCCCCTCCTCTCCAGCTCCGTCCTCTCCCCGCGCACACTGTTTCTCCGTATCTTAGGCTTTTACTGATTTTCCTTCTGGTTTTCTCTTTCCTTCTAGTTGTAGAATTTCTAGTCAGTCAACTTTCCTGTAGTTCTGGGTAATGTCCATTGTGTATTTTAGTGTATTTTTTTGAAATTGTTGTGTGAGGCTGCAGTTAGGTGTTTACCTATACTGCCATCTTGGTTTTTCTCCACACTTTTTTTTTTTTTTTTTTTTTTTTTTAATTCTTACTGGAGGATATGTTTTTTAGAGAGACAGAGACATATCAATGTGAGAGAGACATGTCTTTTGGTTGCCTCCTGACTGAAGCTTGAACCTTCAACCTAGGTGTGTATGTGCCCTGATGGGAAGCAGACCCACCACGTTTGGTGCACAGAATTATGCTCCAACCAACTGAGCCTCCCAGCCAGGGCCTTAGTTACTCTTTTTTAAATAAGGGAGATCACATCTCTTACGATGCATTTCAGAAACTTTTGTTTTATAGGTAGCAACAATCACAGAGACAGATGAGTCTACAGAATCAGAAGGTGTAATTGATTCTCATAAACGCAGAGAAATCCTTTCACGAAGACCCTCTTATCGGTAAGTTAAGTTTCCACTGTAATGATACTTTAATTATACATCAAACCAATTCTTCCACTATAGCTTTTCTGTTTTACTTCTAATTACTCTATCTTAATTATTTGTTGTTAAATTATGTTTTAGAAAAATACTGAATGAACTTTCCTCTGATGTGCCTGGTGTTCCCAAGATTGAAGAAGAAAAATCAGAGGGAGAAGGAACACCACCTAACATCGCTACCATGGCAGTACCGACTAGCATATATCAGACTAGCACGGGGCAATACAGTATGTATGCTACAATTTGATATGATAGTGCTAGCTTTAAGTCTTCTCTTGTTACATTGAAGAAACTTGGGTTTTGACATTAAACTGTTTCATTTAAAAAATGCATCATAATACATTAACTGTATGTCTTAAATAAGTGAGAGATTTGTATTGACAACTGTCATACTTTTGAAAAGTAAATGTTTTTTTTACTGAATATAGAAGAATTTTTGAGTTTAAAATAAAGGTAGTTTTTTTATTTATATGTTTATATTAATATTTAGTAAAAATTTAAAACTTACTGTTTTTTGTTGCCTTTATGATGCATGCAAACATAAGATACAAATGTCTGTATTTCATTCTTGTTGGCTTTCACTATTGACAATTACATTTTTTTATTTATTAATTTTGAAAGGAATACATATGTTTTCTAAATTATGTTTTTACATGTAATCTGTTTTCATTAGTCTACTGTGTTGATTTGTGCTGCAGTTTTTCCCAGACAGAAATGGAAAAATGTTTAATTTTTTAAAACTACAGCAATTAGATCATTTTATTTGAAATTTTAAGCACCAAAAGCTCTAAATAAACAGATAAAGTCACATTTAGTCTTGTGCATTTTAATGGGCTGTTCATTCTCTGCTTTTTACTTCAATTAAAGCACTAGGTTTTCCCCTCCCCAAATCAAGACCATTTGATACATAAAAATACTTTAGTAAAACTGGAGTCCTAGGAAGGAAAAAGTGTATAGGGAAACAAGATAGAAAAAGGACTGACAAAGAGCAAAGAAGTCCACCAAAGCTGCTTAGGTACTGGAATATGTGTGATATTAAATACTGTGTTGATCCAAAAACAGTGTTAAGATTTTATATATGTTTTCTGTTTTCCTTTAAAAAGTAGTAATACCTAGCCCTAGATGGTTTGGCTCAGTGGATAGAGCATTGGCCTGCAGATTGAAGGGTTTCTGGTTCGATTCTGGTCAAGGGCACATGGCTGCAATTGGGGGCATGCAGGAGGCAGCCTATCAGTGATTCTCTCTCGTCATTGACGTTTCTATCTCTCCCTCTCCCTTCCTCTTTCTCTAAAAAAAAATAAAATAAATAAATTAAAATATTTTTTAAAGTAGTAATACCTAGAAAAGTCTCAAGTCTTAATTTAAGACTTTTCTCTTAAAACAAGCTATAATCTCCTTTAGTCTTTGGGAAAACCTTATAGAGTCTTTGGTTTTTTAGGATTTTTCTTACAGTGGTGATAGATTTGCAGCATCAAACTCTCCTTTGGTTATTCTGGTTCCTTGAGTATCTCCTACAGAACACCTGGCAGAATTGGGGTATAATTTGTCCACAGTTCCTACAGGATGCTGAGTGGACATGTCCTTAGTCTGTGTTAGGAAAGCAAAACTTTCTGCTGTCAGTAAAGGTTGGACCTTGATGTTTTCACTGTCATTTCTCCTTTGTTACTTCCCAGATTTATATGCCTTTGTGTGTGGGCCACAGCGAATGTATGGTGGGAGTTTTAGAACTGAAAGTCAGAGTTTGCCAGGTGTGTGCCGTGGCACTGTGCAGCACACAGTCCCCACCATCCTCACAGTGGCTGTGCAGGGCTTGCATGGACCTTCTGGAACCTTCTGACTGGTCAAGCTGTGCACATATTATCATTTTCTATTTGTGTTATAACAGGGAAAAGGTTGGAAATTGCTGATTAAATAAAGCTCAGGGAACATCTTAAAATTAGAGGAACTATCTAAGATGCTGCCATCTTGAACATATAATTTTGAACATCATCTGGCATATCCTGATGCCACTTAGGAATTGATAAAAGCAGTGATCTCTTTACAGGTGACGTGGACAGGGATAAGCAGTGGGCTAATTTGCTTAGTTTATTAGCTGAAATTTTGAACTCATGAAAACATTGGGTTGAGAGAATGTTGAAGCTAGAGATGATGTGAAGGCATCCTGGTGCTGTCATTTGCCAACTGTATCAAAGCAAGCTTTGTTTTTCCCATCTCAGGTGTTTAGTCTTTGAAGAGGGAATAATAATAAATTGGAAAACTCTGGAGTTATTGTGAGAACACAAGGAGATAACAGATAAAAGTGGGGAAAAGAAACATGCTACTTTGTGGGGGTTTTTTGTTTGTTTTTTTGCGTGTGAGTTTCTAAAATTTTATTTTATTTTAAATAAATCTTTATTGTTCAGATTATTACAAATGTGTTCCTCCCCCCCCCTCAATTGTCCTCTCCACCAGGTTCCCACCCCACCCTCTGTCCTTTCCCCACTCTCCATTGTCCTCATCCATAGGTGCACAGTTTATGTTCAGTCTCTTCCCGCACCCCCCTCTCCCCTTTTCCCCAAGAATCGTCAGTTCACTCCCCTTCCATACCTCTGATTCTATTATATTAAACAGTTAATATTGTTCATCAGATTTTTTTAAATTTCCTTGGTTTTTAGATTCACTTGTTGATAGTTACGTATTTGTTGTTCATCATTTTTATCTTTATTTACTTTCTCTTCTGAAAGAACCCCCTTCAGCAATTCATATAATTCTGGTTTGGTGGTGATGAACTCCTTTAGCTTTTTTTTTTTTATTAGTGAAGCTCTTTATCTGGCCTTCAATTTTGAGTGATAGCTTTGCTAGATAGATTATTTTTGGCTATAGGTTCTTACTATTCATCACCTTGAATATTTCTTGCCATTCCCGTCTGGCCTGCATGGTTTCTGTTGAGAAATCAGCTGACAATCGTATGGGTGCTCCTTTATAGGTAACTACCTGCTTTGCTCTTGCTGCTTTTAATATTCTCTCTTTGTCTTTTGCTCTTAGAATTTTAATTATGATATGTCTTGGTGTGGTCTTCTTTGGATTCCTTTTGTTAGGAGTTCTATGTGCTTCCTGGACTTGTAAGTCTAATTCTTTCACCAAGTGGGGGAAGTTTTCTGTCACTATTTCTTTCAGTATGTTTTCGATATCTTGCTCTCTCTCATCTTCTGGGACTGCCATAATTCTGATTTGGTTCGCTTGAAATTGTCCTAGAGGTTTCTTACACTATCTTCAACTTTCTGGATTCTCTTATCTTCTTGCTTCTGCAGAGGAGTGTACTCTGGTTCTTTGTGTTCTAAATCTTTGTCTTGATTCTTGCGATCTTCGTCTGATTTTAGGACTCTGTGTAATATTTTTTTTTATTTTAAACAATGTTTTCTTTATTTCTAGTTGATCCCTTTTTATTTCTAGTTGATCCCTTTTCATATCCTTATAGGTCTCATTTATTTTATCGGCCTTTTTTTAGGATATTCTTGAAAAGCCTTATAACTGTAGTTTTGAACTCAATGTCCATTCTTTTCTTTTCCTCCATCTCCTTCCTTTGTGTCCTGCCTCTTGTCTGCATTTTAGTTGTTTTCTTGACTTGATGGCATAGTTTTGTGTGCTAGGTGTTCTGGTAGAGCCCAGTAGCACAGCCTTCCCAGTTACCGTGGACAGTCTTGGTGTAGCCCTTTGTGGGCTGTGTGTGCAGTCTTGTTGTTAAGCCTTGCTTATTGTTGGTATCACTGGAATGCGCTGATCTCCAAGCCAATTGGCTGTGAGGATCAGCAGTGTCTCAGCTAGGAGGGCTTCTGTACTCCACTTGGATGGGGTGGAGTCTCGGGGTGGCGCAGACAATCTTTGGTTCCCTGTCAGTCTCGCCTTAGAAAAGTCCTGTTCGTGGAGAGTTTTGGAAGATTGGTTGCAGGCGCGCGCACCTCTTTGGTAAAGGCGCAGACAAGCTTTAGATTCCAGCCAGTCCCTCCCTAGAGAAAGCCAGTCTCTGGGAGAGCTTCTGTGCTCAGCTTGGATGGGGCAGAGTCTCGGGTTGGTGCAGACAAGCTTTGTTTTCCTGTCGGCTCCTCCCCAAGTGGCTCCTCCCTCAGTAAAGGCCTCTGGCTTCACACTTCTCGGAGAGATCTCTGCCTGCTGCCTGACAGTGGCCTTTTCCTGACTGGGGCTGTCTATCAGAGCAATAGGGTGATTCTGTTTTCCTCTTGAACAAGAAAGACAACCCTGCATTAGCTGTCCGCCCTCTCTGCACGCCGGGAGTAAGTCAGTAGCGAACTCGGCCCGGCCTGCCCTCTTCGCGCACAGGGATTCGGCCAGCAGCCATCTCGGCCTGGCCCTCCCTCTCCGCGCACCGGGATTAAGCCAGTGCCTTTTCGCGCACACAGTTCTCCGTACCTTCACAGTCTCTGAGGGTCAGCACACCTTCCCTCTCCTTTCCAGATGGCAGAGCCTCCTCTCAGCTAGCCGTCTGGTGCTTCAGGGCAATGCCTCCCCTGTTTTCCAGTTCTAAATTCAAATTTGTTGTGGTAGGCTGCATTCAGGTGTCTACCTTATACTGCCATCTTGGTTTCTCGAAACATGCTACTTTGACATGTCACAGCGAAATGTAAGCTAGCTGTGGTGATGTCTCATTCACAACCCTGAGGCCTTTACTTCTTGTGCTCTTGGTGCAGTTTGAAGAAGAATCTCAGCTTTAAACGTCACTGTGAGTTGGGGCAAGAAGGGGTGCAGTCAGGATCTCTGGGTGAAAAATGGAAAGTCCAGTCTTTAGAAGTTAGGCATTTATCTATTTGCCACATTAGAGGTCCTGGACTATCTCTTCCTTACTTTTCTTAATTTGGACACATACAATGTTGGTCCTGGCAATTATTTTAATGAAAAGTTGTGCTGGTTCTATGTGTATTGTCCCATGTAAAATTTGGCCTGTATCGATTCACAATAAATGGTATTGCCTATGTTAAAAATGAATTGTGTAAACATTTAGTAACAGTTTTTTCTGTAGATAATTCTTTCATTTGAAGAGTGAATATTTTTTTAAAAATATTTTATTGATTTTTTTACAGAGAAAGAGAGAGGGATAGAGAGTTAGAAACATTGATGAGAGAGAATCATCGATCAGCTGCCTCTTGCACACCCCACACTGGGAATGTGCCTGCAACCAAGGTACATGCCCTTGACCAGAATCGAACCTGGGACCTTTCAGTCCACAGGCTGA